TTAGATAGTGGATTGGCCTGATAGATAACTGCAGATTTTTGCATATGTGTGTCAATGTAGCTTGTGTGTGTGTGTGTGTGTGTGTGTGAATTGTCACATTATATCTTGACTGTGTGTATCTGTCTGACTCAGCTCGATGGTTTCAGAGGGCAGATGAAGTGCTAATTAGTTCAGATATATACTGGATAAAACATGCCTAGTCCGCACCATTCACTACCCAGAATACCACTGCATTAATCACGTGTGTCAGCACATATTCATAAACACTCATTAAAGCCACAACATTGCACTTCCTCACACAACACTGCTACCTGTCAATGCTAGACACAGTCTTCCAGGTTGTTTTCTGAAAAGAAAGTGCAGTCATCCAAGAAACAATATACTGTAGATTTTCTGATGAATTCAGTATAGGAAGCTAAGTATTTAAAGTCATGATAATCAGTTCTTAACATTTTTTTTTAAATTATCATATTTTATTTTTGTTTTTATAAATACTGTATATATGCTAGTGTGTATTATGTCACGTTCTACCTGAACCCTAAATTTCTTTTTACAACAACATAATAATAATAATAATAATAATTATTATTATTGATTATCTGAAAAAAATAAGCATTTTATAATAGTTTTTTAATCATCATCATCATCATCATGTTATTATGTTGTGAAAAAATTGAGTTAGGGTTCAGTTAACAAGAAAATATAATTATTAGAATTATTTCACAGACAAAATATATAAATAAATGATATAAAAATATGAATAAAAAATACCTCTATTATGAAGATAATGTGTTTTCTGGAGCATGCTGAAGGTTGTTATGTGGCTTTCCCAGTTGAACAAATTACCTCAAAGATTGAACCGCAGGCATTTCAGGAGATTGTAAAAAAAAAAAAAAAAAAGTCTATTTGGAGGACATAAATTGACTAGCAACATTCTAAACACTCAAAGAGAGTCAGACCATCAAATTATTCTAGGAGGAACAAAACAAGGATTTTAAAAGAAATGCTTAACACGTTCCAAGCAATTACACTTGAACAGAGACACAATTTCTCTTCAGCTCAGCCAATCAGAACCATAATCTTCACCTGTGATTCAACATCACAACAACAAAGATATCTGTATCTGCTTCAATCAGATAAAGAAGTGCAAATCTAATAAATATTAGTTAACATAGAAATCCATATCCAAGTAAATAACCCGTGTAAATTTACACAGTCGTTTCAAAATGAATTGCTCTTGCTCCAGAGCTTCATTCTGGGAGGTCTGAGAGAAGATGAAACAGACATGAAAATTACAGAGTTTGCAAAGTCTATAAGCTGGCAAAGAGCAAAGGCAGAGACATGCAGAGCTTGGCTTAGATGGTAAGACATCTTAGGAAAGTCTTAAAGCTCGTCGCCAACACTTGCCAATATCAGAGTCGAAGGCGACTGGAAAGCCTTTAACCATTCACTTCTTCACTAAGAATTAGTAACTGGCAGCACTGGAATGTTTTCAGATTCTTGAAACGTCTCTGAACATATTCTCTGTGCTTTAAGATCAGACGTGGCGAATGCACAGACATGTTGGATGGAAATCGAGTGAAACTCAAAGTGAAAAATGCCAAACACAGCCTGAACAGCAGGGGGGTCTGGATTGCTTTGTCTCTTGTTTTATCACATTTGACAATGCCATTAAACTCAAGTACAGGCAAAATCTCAACTCGTACTTGGAGATTGGAAGTTTTACATCACACGCCTCTCGTCTCCACTCTCCAAGACATATTTAGATTTGATTGATAAAATAAATAAAAGTCTAGATAAAAAGAGCGTTATCTCTTCCTCAGTATTGCTGTCTGGAGTATAAACAGGCTGCTTTATAAGGGCATCACGTACAGTGGGAGAACAGAGTGTATGAATACACTTTGTATGCTGTAGAAACTAATTAGCCTCTCATTTATGAAAAGGCCTCGAATTCTGCTGGAAATCAAAAAGTGCTTTGTTGATATTTGAGAAGTGTATGAGCCTCAGTCTGGGTGTTTTGCTTGCAGATGTATTCCATTTTGGGGATAAAATAGTGAAATGAAATGACAAAGGATATATAATTATAACGTACAGCACAAGCTATCCATTTTTAGACTTAATTACTGAAAGGTATAGACCCTTCTCGGACTGAGTTCTGTATAATGAGGCTGGATCCCAAATGGATCCTCAAAGCTATGTCAAATCTGGTTTTAACAGTGTCTGTGCAAAGATAAAAAAAAAAAAAAGGCCAGTGAAGAAATTGTTCACAAATGAAAATGTCTCTTGAGATGAAGTTTGGACAAAATGACCTGATAACATCTTATTGTGCGATAAAGCTTATTGAGCTGGCGGATATAAAGGAAAGTAGGATGCAATCTGTTCTTCATTTAACTAGATGGAACTGTCTCAGAGGCATATATTATATCAGTACGATATAAAAAGCTGAGACCAGCAGTCATAAAACATAATTCAGAACTGGTGGTAGATGTTGGTGAATCTAGAATCCATCATGAACAATTATACACATCCTATCAGGCAATTCCAATGATTTGATTGAAAACAGGAATATTGATGATGACAAATTTATTCATAATGTTTAACTAGTAGGGTTATTATTCTGTATTTAACTCACACGCTAAGCTTAAAATACTTTCTCTTATTCCAGCCTAATATGCAGAGAAAATAAAGTGTTTCTATATTTTGAATACTGTGGTATTTTCAAAACATTTCTCTTTTTGTTTGAGTATCCTGACCTGCCTGACAACAGCAACAGCTCAACCAATAGAGTGAATTTGGGGCGGAGTTATTTGTTTGACTGACCAATGGAATAAAGGGGAAATGTTTAGAAAGCCTGTTTGAAAAAAAAAAGACATCTGTATATGTTTTACTATTCTTTTTGGTGACAATAGTGGTGCAGAAATCATGTAAATGTATAATTATAAATGTATTTGAAAGAAACACAGGATCATTAGAAAATATGCCTCTACCTAGATTTT